ACCAAATCCCTTTCTCCTTGCCCCCCATGTAGCCTAACCCACAATCCTTCTACTTCCTCATCCTTGGATTCTGTCTTGACGAGGGTTGACGTATATTGCTCATTGACATAGAGCGCAACCCCTCCCCCTTTTTTCCCCACCCTGTCCTTTCTGTACAATCTATAACCCTCAATATGTACCGCCCAGTCGTGGGACGAATCCCACCAGGTTTCCATTATGCTTCCGTTCTGCATAGGTCTCACCAGAAAAACTTGAAACCAGAACTCTTCTAGCTTCACAGTCAGTGGCTGACACTGCTATTATGAACTTTCCCATGTAGGAAAAGTAAAGGCCATTTTGCATCTGGCCACAAGATGGTGCCACTGTCCTGGCGGAAAAGTAACTTTATTCAGCACTTTTTGTTGCATGAAAGAAACACAGTGAAATCCCGGCAGGTGTACAGCTCTACTTTTGTTCTGCTACAGCTAAAGACTCAGCCTGGATTTTGCACAGAGGTTTGTGATCCTTTTGAGTAAACCTGGGGCTGTTGTACCTAACCAGTGCCATTTCTCTGTGGTTTTGAAGCTGTGTTTCTAAGCAAAGATCAAGGAAGGTGCAGACCCACATAAATGAAACCAAATAAATGTTTTAAAAGACCCCCCACAAACCTACCCCCCTGGTGAGTGACATTCTATGATCTCTGGTTGTACATTGCTATGTTACGGCAGGCTTTTTTTCTGCCTCTAAGCTGTTTGATTCTGTAGGTGAATAAGCTAACTCTCAAACTGATACAGGGAAAAGGGAAAAAATGAAGCAAAAAAGGTTTTGTTTAATCTAGCTACTGAGTTATTTTGATGAACGCTGCCACAACATTCAGGATCTTAAGGTAGTGTCAACTGTTCAGCTTAACACCTACTAAGTGCAGTTAAAATGTGATCAAACACATGTTACTTCCTTTCAGGTGAAGATTATCTCAAGACTGTATCATGTTTCCTGACACATACTAACATTAATACTTCACAACATTCCAATGATTTGCGACTGCTGCAAGTGAACATGTTACTAGACCCCTAGCTGAGGTTTTGAGAGATCTGGCTTCAAGACAAAGCTCCTACGTCACCTTGGAAAGTCACACAGCTGCCCAGTGTCTCCATCTCCCATCTGTAAAACAGCACTTCCTTGCTCCACAGGCACAACTTGGTGATAGATGCATTAAAAGTTTGCAAGGTACTGAGATTCTGGAACAGTAGGGTCCCTTAGAGGTATGTAAGCCTGATAGTACTGTTCTTAGGGGCTTCCTTTCCCCATTCAGCATCGATACGATAGAGGGGAGCATCACAGCCATAACATGAAAAAGAATAGATAACATTTCATACCGTTTCATTAAAAGTTCCTTTTCCTTGGAAACATCAGTCATCATTCTGCTGACTTGAGGGAGCTTATTTGACCCTGAAAACAAAAGAGAATCCAGGGAATGTAACATCACTTGGAAGGGAAAGCAGCTTTCTTTCAATCTTCAAACCAGGTGGCGCACTAAGCTCCTTCCTCAATTACTTATGAGCTGAGAAATAGTCAGCGCAAGTTGGGCTTGGTAGAAAGAGTCAGCCTCAGCTGGGGGTCAAGAAGCACAGGTTCATTAAAATCCAGAGCTAGGAGAATCTTCATCAACTGGTTATAAATTATGAAACCATTTGTTTCCCACTGAAGCTAATGTGATCTTTTTATGAGGAATTATACTCTACAAGTGCCATATTGTGGGACCCGAGTTCTTTTAAAGTATGGGACAGGTCCTTTTGGCCCTACTCTGCACAGATGTACATAGTCAAACTAGACAGCCAAGAATCTACCCTGTGCCAGAAGGCCAGATTTTGATCATACCTAGCCTGTACTGGCCTGAAATATTCAGTGATGTTAAAGAGAGTTTTGCCCAAGTAAGGACACCCGCATGCACCTGCTACGTATTGCCAGTGTTGTACAGTCCAGGTCTAGAGTATGCCCTTCTATCCATGAGTGGATTCTGGCACTGATGCCAGAGGACAGTATAGAATCTCATATAAGAACATAACAAGTACCATACTGGGTCAGACCAGTGGTCCATCTCACCCAGTATTCTGTCTCCAACAGTGGCAGGAGGGATGCTATAAAGGGAGAGCATTGAACTGGATATCTCATTCTAACCATTATTCTATACCCTCATGTCACGGTGGGGTCCCACAGGAGGGCCGTGATCTCCCTGAGGTCCCTCTCACCGTGCCAAGTCCGGCCCAAGGGCACCCTCTTATTCTCGCCTGCCATGTCTTTGATGTTCAGTAAGTTTGGGAGGCTGCCTTACACCTCCCTGGGCACGGCTAAATCGGGACCTCCATCCCCGTGGTCCCCGTGTTCTCCTGGACCCTCCCCCGGGGGTCTCCCTGTACGACGGGTGCTCCCCAGGCACCCTAGCCTTAGGGCCATGCGTGGCTCCTACCAACCCCTAATACCACGCCCCAAGCCTCGCAGATGTTCTGGACGTTGTCCTGTCACAAATCAACTTGCCTGCTCCCTCGGGCCTACTCCGTACGCTCTATGGAAGCGCCCCCTCCTGGGCTCCCCCTCTCTGTGCCCACTCCGGGCTCTCTCTAGTATACTGCCCCTCTCTTGGGGCTCTTGAGGCCGACTTTAGGCCTTCTCTAAAGTGTCGTCCCTTTTAGGGACCCTTATCCACTCTGGGACTTCGTATCGAGCCCTACGGTCTCTTAGGCCCACTGCACTGCTAACCTCCCTCCTCCGGGCGCACCGTGCTGCTATCCCCTTTGCTGGGGACCACCACCGCACTTTGCCCTTCTCCTGGGCTCTGTACAGCTAACCCCTTTCATTGGGGTCCACTGCAGCACCCTGCCCCTGTCTGAGGTCTATTGCAGCACTAGCCTACTATCAGGGCTTGCTACGCCCATCCTGGGCTTCGCAATAGTCCCCCTTCTCTGAGACTTGCTGTGCCTATGCTAGGGCTCCTCAACAATACTGCCCCCTCTCTGGGGCTTGCTACACCCACTCTTGGGCTCCTAACGATACGGCCCCTCTCTGGGGCTTGCTACCCCTTGGGCGCCGGGGTCCTCACGCTCCACCGTGAGGCCCCTTTAAGGATACTGCACCCTCACTAGCACCAGGGTTCCCACACCACTGGGGTCCCTTGGGGTTCAGCCGCTCCTCTCTGAGCTTAACTGACCCCACAACTCTGCCCTGCAACTCTCAGGGCCAAGTGCGTCCTCACTGGCGCCGGGGGCCCCACTTTACCATGAGCCCCCTATGAGGCCTCCTCCAACCCCTACAGCCTCACCCAGACAACCACAACCAAACACAAGCCTCTTGGCCACAACTTAACTCTACGTCGCCTGGCTAAACCATGGTGCTCAAACCTCTTCGAGCTGCCCTCCTTCACTCAGCTACAGCGGTTCCTACAGTGCTCGCCTTCTAGCTCCAGGAGCTCCTGCCTCTATGACTGCTGGCAGGGAACTGCTAGCCTGGCCTCAGCCCTGGGCTTTATGAGGGCCAGGCCCTGCCCCCTTCTGGCCAGCTGACTCACATTAGTTGCCCCGGCAACCCGCAGCTGTGCTTGTTATGTTCTGCCAGGGCTCTCTCTCCCTGGCAGTTTCCACTCTCTAGGATCAGAGCACCGAGGTGCCCTGCGACACCTCAGTCTCTCCTAGTATGACAGCTGCTCCAGGCCCCTGATCATTCTGGCTGTCTTTTTCTGTACATTTTCTAATTCTACTACATTCTTTTTCAGATATGGGGGCCAGAACTGCACATAGTATTCAAGATGTGGGCACGCTATGGTTTTCTGTAGTGTCATGATGATGTTCTCTGTTTTGTTTCCAATCCTTTCTCAGTTATGTCCAACATTTTATTGGCTTTTTTGGTCACTGATACAAAGTGAGCTGACAATTTTAAAGGTCAACACATTGGATATTTTTGTTCATACGTTGGTCTCCCTACCTTTAAAAACTCTTGTGACCCAGCGAGCCTGGAGTTCCGTTCCTACCATGATGGAGCCTGTTAGCTGTATAAAGCCAAGGACAGCCAGTGTTGGCTTCTCCAGTTGGGGTGGGAAGACATATTTGTAAAGAGAGGTCTTGCTTTTGCAGACATTCTGAACTGACTCTTCAAGGAAAGGAAAAGACGCAGTGAATCCTGTGGCAAAGACCACCACATCTATGTTGTCCATGACAGTCTCATCTTCAAAGATAGCCGAGGTTTCAGTAAACTCCTTCACATTTGGTTTTACCACGACAGCACCACAGAGAATGCAGCTTGGCAGCTCATCATTCACAATCAAATGTAGCTCTTGACTTGCACACAGAAAGAAGGGAAAAAGATTGAACATAATGTTAGCTACCTCCTGGTGCAAAAAAGTAAAGCAGTGCTGAAAATGTGGTTACCTTACAATGAAGTGCTAATAGTAGGGAAGCAGATATGGGACTATTCATGTTTTTAGCTGTGAAGTATGTAAATGGGGAAATATGCATTCTGTGGATAAAAATAAGAGAAAACAATCTAGATTGTTTATTCTGCGTTTCCTGGGACTACCTTTTATGGGCTGCATTCTATCTTGCACCAAGAAATGTTTTATGTTCAATTGGGTGGGAAATTGTAAAGGAGTTGACACAGCTTCCTGATTCTCAGCCTAAGACCTGCTTTCATTTGTAGCAGCTTGCTATGATCTCTATAGGAGCATGCTCCAGTAGGGATGAGACAAGTAGAGTGAGTGATTCTCACACGGGTGGGTATGGGTCAGGCATGGGTCAGGTGGTCAATGAAAAAAACATCCCTGGGGCTTTATATGCACCTATACCCTCCTGGGGGAATGCTAAAGTGACCAGACTCCATCTCCTGCATATTACATAGACTTAACAGCAAGTAGCCTTACAATGGTGATTGTCATGTGGATAGCTTTTCACTTGAACAATGATCAAAGCCAGAAATTCATTTCCTGTAGACCACCAAACAGCACTGAAGGTGTAATGAACTGAAGTTACTGTCCTTCATGTAGGCTGATTCTGACACAGTGGCCTAGATGCTAAAAGTGTCTTTATCAGTGTAATGGGGCCCCTATCCCATCACTGAAGGAGAGAGCGAGCCAGGGAGCAGCTGGCTGGTTCCAGCCCCTGGGTGGAACTAATAGTGGCAGAGGGCCCTTTGGTGAAATGGCTGCCCATCACAGGTGCAGCTGGCACAGTGTGGCCAGTGACTGACAGACCTGGGGCAAAAATACTAGGGGTGTAAGATGCCTTATAAAACCAGGACTGTAGCTGAGGCCTGGGGAGAGGGAGGGCCTGACCAGCCAAGAAGAAAGGACTCCACATTGCGGAGAGCTGCGAGGAAGTCCCTGTGCCAAGGCAGCAGAGCTAAATATTTTGGCCTTACGTTGCAGCTCGTTACCACAGTGTGATGTTGACCTAGAGTTGAGGGAGGGGACAGGACCTTTTGTTTTGGAGTGGAGGCTCATATTTTTTGTTGTGTTGAAGTTTGATCTGGAAAACTGGTTGCGGCTGTAGGAGGGGAGAAGACCACCAAACAGGGTGCCAGGAGCATCCTGGGTCCTAAATCCTTCAAAGGGAGGGCTAGCAGCATAAGTGGGCTAAGACCAAGATGGCCAAGGCCCAGTTGTGAACCCCAAGAAGCATGGAAGCTGTAAGTAGTGGCTGGGTGGAGCACTGCTCTCAGGTGCAGCCAGCACAGGACTATAGTTTGTGGCAGAAAGACTGATGGCACAAGTCCAGAGCCCACAAAGCGTGGGCTCTGGACTGAGGGGCCCGGAGCCCGCAAAGGGCAAGGCTGGTGTTGGGGTCTGGGAGTCTAGGGTCCTGCAACAGTCGACCTCAGATGGAGGGACCCAGCCAGAGTAGTGGGCCAGTGCCAGGGGGCCTCAGCCCAGACAAGGCTCTAGGACCTGAAGCAACCTCCCCTGACCTCTAGGGGCAGCCTGCCAGTCCAATTATAACATCAAGATGTGGCAGGAAAGGCAACAAGGAGAGACCTTGAGAGGCCAGAGGTGTGAGCAAGTCAAGGAGTCAGGTGGCCACTAAGGGGTGACTTAGCCACCCCAGAGCATGACCTACTATAATCAGTTTTTCAAGCTATCCAGTCTCCTGCCTGTCATGGCGTACTGTTCTTGATCTTCAAAATATAGATCCTGATGGGATTTCTATTATGCTGTTTTTCCAAAGGAGCTGTCATCAGTTTCACAAGTAAGAATCAATTTGCACGAACATTTATCATGGGAATAAATAGGAAAATTTGCCGCTGCTGGAAAATGTGTTAAATCCCAAAGCACAATTTCTGTAAGAAAGGTGATGTAGGCTTTTGATACTCAATAATCATTTCCAAAATGAAATAGGAGATGTATACCCCCACCCCCTCAAAAACCCCACCCCAAAACCAACCCCCCAAACCAATCAATCTATTAAAAAAAGGAAACAAACAAAACTATCTCCCAACCCCCTCAAACAAATAAATAATAACAACAAAGAACGCACCTTTTTTGCTGAAACAAGCTATAGTTTTCATGGTTAAACCATGCGCTGAATTTCTTTCTCTTGATCCTGCTCGCGAGGACTGATGGGAGCAACCATTCAACACAGTTGGCAAAGCGTGTGGTGAACACCATGTCAAGAGGGAAGCCCTGGTTTGAAACACGACTAACCACCCATGTGCCACTTCTGGTGCTGAGAAATACCTGCAAAATAATTAAAGATTGGGAAGTCTCTTGCTCAGGGATGTGGTTTCTTTCTTGTTTCTACTGTCAACTTGCTGTTTTGACATAAAGAGATCTTTTGTGTGGAGATAGAGAATTAATCTGAATCTCAAAGAACGAGGTTGGGATAAGAAAGCAGTGTCCAGATGAACAGTTTGGTTGAGGAGGTCTCTTTAACTTCCAGTATATGCAAACCCACTATTTAATCTGCTAAACTGATTTGCACAACTATGCCTTGACTTGAGGCACTGCATACTTTACAGATTCTGGGTAATACCCAACCTTGACATATCTTAATTTACTGGCTTGTTTACCCCATCATACCCTCCAGCATCCCTCCTCAGGCAGTTTTCCTGCAAAGTAAATACCTGAGTAATGGGGTTATTTGTGGGCCACAAGATACCAGATATAACTAGTATGTGAACACTATGATGACACCATGCCTGCTTAAAGAATGCATATGCCTAAACTCTTGTAACACCACATAACTATACCTGAGCAGCCACATGACTGAGGTCCACAGCAATATCTCCTCCAGAATTCCCAGTACCGACCACAAGGATTCTTTTTCCTTTGAAATCATCTGAGTCTTTGTACTCCCAGCTGTGGAGGCACTGGCCTTTAAAGCGATTTCTTATACCTTGAAGAAAAAAACACAACAGGGGATACCTCCTGTCACTACAGGCATATATTTGTTCCATTGAAACAATTCTATTGACAGCTTTGTTACTGATCCTTCATTTCCTTTGAGTCCCTCTAGTCTTTCTGTTTTGTGAACAGTCATTCTTCAGACAGCACAGCCAGCCTGTGAGCTGTCGGATACAAGTACACTTGAAGTCAATGGAAGTCTTTCCATTCACTTGACTGGGTGATGCATCACACCCCACATACACTGAAAGGGTCAAATACCCTGTCCTACTGGCCCCATTGTGGTTGATGCTTTTAAAATCTCATGCTACTTAATATTACATACTTAATTTGCAGCTTTTCTAACATATTTAATTTTACTTAGGCTTGCTTCTTGCTGAGAAGCTTCAGGTCTGACTGGGGGGGTGGGAATACTGGAATTATATATAACTTAAAAGGCAAATAACAACAGTGAATCACCCTCACTCATATTAGTGCTTTCCATCTTCATTTTCCACAGTCTTTTTTTGGTGTAAATCAGCATCACTCCCCTGAATTTAATAGATATGCTGCTTTACAACAGCTGAAAATATGGATCTTTAAATTTTCAACTTTTTATAAAAATGCGGTCAGTTGCTTTTTACAACCATAACAGCATTATAGGCATTAAGACAGTGCCCCCTGCCCCCCCACCCCCAGCTTCATTAGATCATTGCCAACAATACTCAGCACATAACATCATTCTTTGCTTTCCCTGTTCATCAGAAGAAAACTATACCCATGGGAAGCAAAATTTACTTTGGCCATAAGATATAGACTGGGGACCATAAAGGCATTCAAGGGGAGAAATATGAGGGTAGAGGGTGGCATCCCAAAGTGACATCAGGCATTCAAGATGGAAAGGGACTCATAGGGAATGAGTTATTTTTTTGTGAGTTGCAAAGCCTTATCCTTTTCTTCAGTAGACCTGAAATGCTTAATCTTGGCTCTACCACACTATGTCATACTGGTGACTTTTCAGGCATTTTGTATCAGTTTGTGTTTTTTCCTCCACATTGCATACATCACCATCACAATTATGGCTCACCATAGTCTCTGTTGGAAGTATAATTAGTAAGTAGGCAATACACCTTAGGAAAAGGAAAGCTGAAGGACTTTGGGAATAAAGTATCTCTTTACTCATAATGACCATCTTCAGTGAGCAGTATGAAGAACTCACCAGTGCACAGTAGGGAAGTCCATATGTTGCAGTATTCCAATCCCACAGATGAAATTATTTTATTGACTAATGATGTGCAAGGATGAATTTCAGAGCACTCTGACCAGAAATGAATTTCTCCCTATATTTTATATGGTTATACATAATATGATGAGCTGGAAATGCAGGACTTACCAGGAAAAGAATCCAGTGGCAAATGTGGCTCTGCATAATGGCCACTGCAAACCATAACAGCATCAAAGATGGAGGACTTCTGTTCCCCATTGGCCTCAGTGACAATTTCCCACTGGCCACTGGCAGAGAAATCTGGGCATTTCCTTATGCTGTGAACTGTTGTCTTATTTTAAACCACAAGAAAGAAACACCATTATGGACTATTCTATTATTTAAAAAAAACCAAACTTGTTCCTGTGAACCTTTTAATTTTTAGTGCTTGTGATCTGTGGTATGCTCAGAGGGGCAAACAGTTATTTAACCTGTAAATATGCTCTACCAAGTAAGCATCTCCAGCTTTGGCTGCTTTGCGATCAGGAAGTAATGCCAGGAGGCAGAGAAGCTCCCTCAATAAGGTAAGCTAGGTTATGTGCTGAGAGTGTGGTGTATTGTCAACCAGCATAAATTAGAGCAGTCCCAAACCGCTTTAATTTGCTGCGGGGCGGGGGGAGGGGGGTGACTTGACTATTTCTAGCATACCCATGGGAGTACAAAGATAGCATTAATCTTTGTTCCCATTCTTTTGAGTTCTGCATCAAATGTAGCATAGGCCAGGCGTGACCAACCTGTGGCATGTGTGCCACAAGTCACGTGGGCAGCCCCTGTTTGTGGCTCACGGCAGACTGGGGGGCTTAATCTGTGGCATGCCTGCCAAAAGGTTGGCCACCATTGGCTTAGACTATGGTTATACAGTTTATTTCAGGGTAAAAAGGACCAGGACTTTATCTCACTTCTGCTGCTCTGTGGTAATTTCCTGAGTATTTGCTCTTCTTCTGTGAAAAATGAAAGCTAAGCTATGGTAGCCAGTAGTGAAGGAATGGCACATTACTACAGTATAGCTTCCACTTATAATAGTGTGAAGTGTGTACACGCAGGCAGCCATCAGAGAGCAGCTGATGTACCATAAAGCCCTGACCCACTTTGCTCCACACTTAACTGTTCATCTCTTCATGCCCTCAGTCACATCTGAGGTTTTGGCCTGTTAACTGCAGCTATCAGTTACTTTTTTCATTGTTTCTTTTTACTGACTGCCCTAAAGCAGATACATACAAACCTTCAACTTTCTTCTTACCCCGAAGTGTATATACTTGAGAAGGTCAAAGTGCTCAGCATACATTCGAAAGTAGTCCAAGAGCCTGGAATGGTGTAGGTAGTTGGGAAAATTATCTGGGAAGGGGAAATCACTAAAACAGGACATTTCCTTGGAGGTGTTTGTTATCACAGATCTATAGACACTGATCCTCCCAGATTTCGTTGTTTCCTGCATAAAATACACAAGGATATTTTAAAAAAGTGACTGAAGTTGAAGAATTTGCTTGACCTGAGTTATCAAGGCAGAGTTAAAATGGCCTAGCTGCAAAACTCATATGCAGAATCAACACATTTCCACTTCCTCCTGTCTGAGATCTTGTTATTTCAGATTAAGGTAGGGTATGAATCTAAGTCACTATAGCTATTCTGGAATAACTCCCTTTGGGGCTGCTTTTATTCCATGGTAAGAGTGTGTACTTTACAAGCTATTTTGGAATAGTTATCACGGAGCAGTTTATTCCACATTACCTATTCCAGACAATTTCCTTATGTAGACAAATCTTCAGTCACCTTCATTCTGTTAGTGGAGGAATGGACACACCTGGATTCCAGAGCTCTTGTGTATGCACTGATTTAATATGGGGAGAATAGATATGGAAATTCTAAAGATCTCCATCTTCTCATCCCCATCAAGTCAAAGAAGCCTACTGAGTCCAATGCACCATCTGTCCCTAGGACTATGGCTACAATTTCGTCTACACTTCAGATATAAATTATGCCAACATTCAGGGCAATATGGAACCAGATCCAAAATAAAAGCAGTCTTAAAAGTCACTAGATAAGCAAATCTCACTTACTGAGAACCTCCAGAGTCCCCCGATGCCATTGCTTCTCTCAAAGCAGGTGGGCTTTAGCCCCTCATCCAGACAGCACTTAATGGAGGCCAGTCCACTGACACCAGCTCCGATGATTGCAACTCTCTGCACCATGGTTTCCTTTATCAAGATAGAGTCAGATAGGTCCCAGAATTAACCTCTCAAGCACTTTGGTACACATCTTGTAAGAGCTTCTGCTGGAATGTAATAACACAGCCCAGAAACAAGGGCCTGGCATTTAGGTGACCCTATGAACTGTCAGTTAAAGTTGATATTTTTATTGCTGTACTTAACCAATCACTGGTATGGTTCAATAACGGATTCTCCAGGGCAGAATTTCCTGATCATGGGCACACCTGCATGGATTTTTCCAGGCAAGTATAATATTTTAGGAATGAGTGAAAATGCCTGTTCTACTTTTCATCAGTGATCTCAATGCCAGGCACTCGTACCTTTCCAAGCCTCAAAGTATTCAGGCCTGGTTGGCTTAATATTATATTCTTCAAAACATATATAGGCACTATGACAAACTAGGATTTCTTGCCGCACTGAATTCAGTGAAAAAATTCCTAGTGATTTTACTGGGGTCAGCATTTTGCCCATGTGTTTAGGATGGTGCTGTCAGAAAATACAGGAAGGGAAAGAATGCCACGATAATCCACCTTTCAGTAATATTTGAGAGAGAATGCCAGATCTATGAAGCTTGAAGATTTTATCTCCTATTTCCAGTTAACCTAAAAAACAGGGTTTTACCATGAAAGGAACAAGCATGATGACACAGAAAAAAAAGTCCAACAGGCATAAAAGACATTCTCTCACATAAGAGGGAGAAGTAGTTCTTCAGGGGAGCTGGATTTAGACCTAGGCACTTTTTGAGGCAGGAGTGGGCAAAATACAGCCCATGGGCCAGATCCAGCTCACCGACTGATTGTATTTGACCTGTGGATGGGCAGCTGGCAACTCATAGGATCTGGCCTGTGGGCAGCCAGTGGTTCTGGCTTCAGCCACTATGTGGTGCTGCGTGGGTGTGTGGGACTGTTTCTGCCAAACTAGGTGGGTGGGTGGGATTGCTTCCACCCAGTGCTGAAATGTCAGCATCAGCTGTGGCCCTGGGTAGATGCCCTGATCCCCATCCAGAACCTCCTGGGTGCATCCACAACTGATGCCAGCATCTGCCCGGGGCTGCTTCTGCCGTGCCAGATGGATGGTGACTCAAGCTGTGGATAGTACTGGCAGGTTCCGGGTTGCTTTAATAACCTTTTTATCAAAATGTGTTGTTTCTGCTGAGTGAGAACAGTTAATATACAGTATATTGTACATTGGAGGAAAACTGCAGAATTTAACCATTGGATGGGAAAAGATAGAAAACTCAGTACTTCAGAACACTCAGAGATACCAGGAAAAAAGTGCCCCGCTGCCATTTGTTTTGCGGGGATGCTGATACACATGATGCTGGATTCCCTGGAGCACCGTAATTTCCATGCTCCAGCAGACTCGAATAATTGAGCCTTGATTAATTGAGACTGCTCTGCTGCACTGGAATAACAGTGCATCAGAGCAGCCTCCCTGCATGTATACAGAAGCCTTTTCTTAACAAATTGATTGGAATCTCCAAGAATGCTTTACCTGCTTTGACAATAAGGTATGCATAGCTAAGCTAAGCTATACTAAGTTATGCTTAGCTAAAAAAAAATATAAGTCAATATGATCTTGGCTTTCTAATAGAAAGCAGAACATTTTCACTCACCCAGGAGGAAGTGGGCTAGGACAGATGGGCGGGCTGCAAACTGGGACCAGTAGGAATCAGAGAAGAAAAATACTTCCTGTGAATGAAAGTAGAATTAGACCTTCCTGAGATAACCTTAGACCTTAGGCTTCTTGAGACAGTTGCTGAAGTTCATCTCTATATATTTTTCTATTATTTTACATCCCTAAATAAACCTTGTGCTTAGGAAAGAAGGGCTGGACTTGTCTTGGGGAATTTATATCATCTTTGTTCTCTCAGAAGAGATGATTCCTCAGGTTCTCTAATGGAAGTGGGCCTGCAAGGTAAAGGTATATGCACCTACCCTTGTTTCAGTTTAGAAGGCCAAGGAGCACAGAAATAACCTCAAGAGAGGCTTAGTGGCATAGAGCAGCAACAGGCAAAGAGGAAGACATCTCTAAACACTCCTGTAACATTTTTGGTCCCCTGTCCCTCTGAGGACCACATCCTTTTGGACAATGCCAAGGACTGGACACACGTAACCCAATAATACATTCACATACCCCACATATTAGTACAAATTTTACCCCTTACTATGTTTTTATTTATCCATACATCCCGTTTGTATATTTATTGAATGAGCAGAAGTTGTTAAAGTAAAGCTTCAGAAAAGGACTGCATGGAAACACAGCAAATCCATTTAATTAAAAATGTTTAGAATGTTTTGATACTTGTTTTAGTTCCAATGAAGAAAAACAAATCTTGGATTTTGTTTTCTTTTAGCTTTTTATTTATTATGAGAAAGTGTGAGAGAGGGTACCCTTCATAGTCTTGAGTCAGAGGACTTGCCTAGAATATACCAGATTTATGTCCTTCCTCAGGTCTCTGGAGATCATACAGTTAGTCCAATAAAAGATATCACCCACAACAATTCTTGCCTCTCACACCTCCATAGATCATCATAGCAACATCATCATCCTAACTCTAAGAAAAGGTAGAAACTCAATGAAATTCAGAGTTAAGATTAAACTTGGCAAAAAATGAAACACTTGAGAAGGCTGTATTTACCTGAATCCAAATGGCTTGGAATTTAAGACAGTATCACCAGTAATTAGATTCTATGCATGGAAAAGTACACATTTGTTATAATTTTCTATATATAGAATCTAATTATTGGAGGGTTGTCTTAAATTCATCCCCCTACTGATGTAGCAGGGAAAGCAGAGGTGGGGATGAGGGGCTAGACCCCTGCTCCTTGCCTCCTGACTCTTAACCCCATTCATGCCTGTGCTTGACCCCAATACCTGTCCCACTCCACTCCTTCCCCCTACCCTATTCCTATTGCCGGTGCCGGCCCCCCATCCCCTCGCTCCCTGCCCCTCCAGGCTCTGCTTTGCTCCGTTCCAGCTCTGGGAAAGTCAGTGGTGATGATCCCAGCCTGGCCAGGCAGAAGCAGATGGTGGCAGCTGGAGGGACTGGAGCTGGAGCAGAAGGTAAGGAGTGGGGGCGGTGGGGGTGTGAGGCAGCATGGTTTCTCCTGCACTCTTCCTAAGCCTCACAGGAAGGTCTCCTACCTGCTCCCCCACCACACACCCCTCTGCCCCCACACTAACCCTGGTCTAGGAAAGGTGGAGGCTCAGCTCTGGCTTTAGCCCTGGGCCTGGGGCTGAAGCCAGAGCTGAGCTGCCACCTTCTCTGGGGCAGTACTCGAATCCAACATGCTTTCTCCAACATGCTGTTAAGGGCAAAAAGACCTGTTTTGGATTCAGGTAAATACAGTATATAAGCATACAGTTAAGGCAACCAAAAAAAAGCAAAATGCATTCTGGAAAAAATATTGGTATATGGGTATGTTTCAAAATTCTGAAAATCAGACTCTGGTTCTTACCTCACTTAAGGGCTTTGAAAATACTGCCCCCTAATTTTTTATTCTACATTAGTTAGATATGTTTTGTTTTAAAAAGTATATCATCAAACTTTATTTTAAGATAGTAAACACTATTGCATAAAAATTCCTATAAACACTTAGAAGTAATAGCAAAAGGTAGGCGTATGGAAATACGCAACCAGCATGTGATGAAATCAATTTATAGATAATGCTTATGTGCAGTAGATTGTTTTCAGTCAAAGATAATATTTCCTGCTATGAGTTTTTCTAATTTGGCAAAGGAGAATTCTCTCTGATACTGAATATACATGAAGTTAAGGCCAAGAGTCTGAGCATAGGCAACTGGTAGGGGGTGCACGGGGGTGCACGTGCCCCCCCGATGGGGCCAGTGCCCCCCCTGATGGCTGACACTGATACTGTCGGTAGGGCTGGTGCCCCCCTGACAGGGCTACCACCATCAGCAGCTTCTGCGGGTACTCCCCCAGATTCAGGAGGCACCAGTCACTCATAAGTCTGAGAGTCACAATGGCAGAAGGCACAGCAGGACATTTTGTTTAAAGTATGAAACTGCAGCCTGGAATAAAGTCTTTAGCAAAGAAACTCACCTTTTTGCTTCAGTGTACATTTGACTAGATGCAGTATGAAGCATTTCTTCATAAATGAAATGAGGAGAGACTAAAGTCCAGTTACAGCTCATTTTCATTTATCTCCTCTGAACTTTGCACACACTTACCTGACTGCATTTGTATTTGCTTCCATGTGACTTTATTTTAAAAGTTTAGTATATATTTATTATTTTTTATTTTATATAGGTATATACAAACTCTTTTGCTTACTGTATTATTTGATTTTTATTCCTGAGGGCTTACCTAGTGGGAAAAGCACACACAATTTTACCACGGCAAGGTAAACATTTATTTAAAAAAAGGAGGGGTTATTTGTGACTGTGTTCATATAAGTACATTAAGTTATAATACTTATAAGTATAAATAAGTTATAAATAATAATGTAACTGTTTGTTTTCAAACAGAACCTCTTCTTCTAAAATAGAAAAATGGAACAAATATATACCGTTATGTCTTTATCTGATAGTGAAAGGTACATTTTCTGAACTAAGCTTTTGGAATGGGAAGGTTAAATAACTTCTTCAGAGCCATGCAAGTCTCCCTGGCCATGTCCTCAGAATCCTGGAAATGCTGTTAGCTCTGGTTCCCTGAGTGGCCATGGCTGCCAGTGGCCTAATTACTTCTAACTGGCCTCAGTTGCCTGCATGGGGATGGCTGCCTGCTTCCATGGTTTTCTGGCTCCTGGGCCTTGCTGAATGCTTTTTCCTGGTTTCTGTTTCCTGCCCACTGACTCCCTGTTCCTGACTCCCAGATCCTTGCTTTCTGAGTTGCTGGCTCCTGACCCCCCCAAGTTTATGGCTGCAGTCAGAACCACTGCTTCTGGTTCTTGACCTTGTCTGCTCCTCCTCTTCTGACTTGTGAATTTATTGGGACCCTTGCTTCCTGACCTTGCTGATTCCTGATTCCTCGGGTCATCATGACTCTGTGGGCACCTGTACACACCACAGAGTTTAATCCTCTTTAAATTAAATTAATCCTCTTTAAATTAAATAGGTTTATAAAATTTAAACTTGTTTATTTTGGAGCATCACACATCAGTGTTTGCACACACTTGGTTTTCAAATGAATTAAGCCAGTGCTGCAGGAGAGCGGGACAGTCCAGTGCTAGCCCCCCTGGTCTGGGACCCCTCACCCTGTGCCATGCCACGTCGTTGTGGGAGCACAGAGCTTGCAAATGGCACAAGGAAAAAAAAAGCGGAACCAATTTGAAAGTGGAAGCAATTTGAAGGGGTGAACTACAAAAAAGTCACAGTGCCATCTGGTGAACAAAGAGGCTTATTACACATCTTTGAGTGCCCTTGTGTTTGCATGCAATGAATCCATGGATGCAATGCTTTAATTTGCGGCAAGCCAAACTAAACTACATCTGAGGAGTTTTACTTTAATGCACCAGAAAGACTTTCAAAGGGTTCATAAAACCCACTTGTGCAGCAAGGATCACACTGCCCACCCTAAAGATGTTCTGGGTACCTGGGAAAAGGGCCCCAAAGACTATAAGGACTGCCGGAGAAGTTGCTCTGAGCACAAACACTTACCTTTTGCAGACAAGAAGGAAAAGAACAGGACCTGGGAAGATCACAGACACTGAGATTTATCAGCTCCTGTCAGTTCCAGTTAGCTGGGTGCGTGACGGAGAACAGTTTAAAAATGCACCCAGAAACAACTGCAGGAGAGAGAGGAAGACAGGGAGAGAACTGGAAGGAGTAAACAGCCAGGAAAAATGCTTGGACTATGTCCCAGCAGAGGCAAAGGAGGAGAGTAGGGAACTCTCTCCTTTTGAGGCTCAGAGGAGTCTCTCTACTTACCTGAATCCAGAAGAAAGAAGACACTGTGGCAGGGCTCAGAGGGCTACCAGTTACTCAAACCCAGAAAACCTGCAGAGCCCAAAGACAACTAACCATGAGTGGTGGAGTTGCAGGACTGGGGATCTGTGAGAAACCAGAAATCCATTGTTCTGCAGCCCACCTAATATTAAGGATAAATAGGGGTAAACATGATACAGGGGTCCCCACTGCTAGAGACAGTTAAGCCGTCCCTTCCCAGGAAGCAGAGGCTGAGTACAGGGGACCAGCAATCCACTGTATGATAATATATACAGAACCAAATCCAAGCCAGACATTGCCTTGGTCTATTGGTGACCCCTCAGAAACAGAACAGTGTGTGCAGAGAAATCATAGCCAATAAAAGGTCAACAGTATTTTAGACCAGCAAGCCTCCCTCCTTCTTTTGTTATATCAAGTCATGGCAGGAGAGATAGGGCAGCCATGTTGAGAGAAACCTTAGTTAAAAGACCTGCGGGGACCTTGAGGCTAGCACGCACTAAATCCCAAGGGTAATGTAAGCAAGCGATCTCATTAAATTCACTTGTTCGTTTACACCACTCATGCAAACAGTCACACTGTTGCAGTGCAAGAAAGGGCAAAAAACATAGCGTGTACAAAGACCCTATAATGCCAGGCCCCAGGATGACTGCCTACTTCCCAGCTATCTTGGACAGAGCCCTGTGTCTTTCCTTATGAGCTACTTCTAGGCAGTTGAATGCTGAGCATGTTGACAGTAGGAAACAGGGTGGGCTGGCTTCTGGGGATCCCATTATGAGGATCG